TGTTTACATTAGCACATAACCGCACAAAACAAATTCGGAATGCACAAAAACAATACTTTAATCACTGCGTTTATTGTTTAAAACTCACTTATATCGCTTGTTTCTGCTCTTTCAATAACAAAATCGATTAAAATATCGATGGCCAATGAAAATCGAATATAAATTATGACACAATTGAACACGAAAAACGCATTTTGTTTACGTTTTTTATATCACTCTGTTTATTTTTTTCTAGAGCAAAATATCACTAAAAATCAAATAAATTTCAAGTCAAATTTAATGTTAAATCATTTATTGAATAAATTTAAATAAAATAAAAACCTAAAAACGATTAATAAAAATAAAGTTTTTGTTTTTGGTGCGAATGAACATTTTACACTGAACTCGCAAAATCAAAGTGTAATTCGCTCATATACAATGTAGTTGATTCATCGCCGTGTGAAATATCAGTTTCACCACATTGCAACACAACGCTGGTAATTCAACATTTCGCACGGTGGAGAAACAACTTCAGTGTAAATGGACGAATTACACAAAAAACATTTGTGTTTACACTGTTCAATTTTTCTGAGTAGGAGACGTGCTGATTAGTTTTTGAGCAATATCTGTTGACGGGTGTAATTTTTTTTGGTCCGAATGGATTACCCACAATCCATACATTTTACTTTTTTGATCAATTTTCAACCATTTTGGTGACACGATGGTTTCGTGCTCAGACATGAAATTCAAAATCTGACTTTACGGGATGATTGGACACTACGAGGAATAGATCTGGTCAAATTTTCAACGACATTGATTGATCGATGTAAAACTTAGACTCTGAAGAGGCACTTATGAGAAAAATTCCTTAAAATGATATTCTTTCAATTTAAACGCTGAAAAACTGTGTAGTGGGGTTTTTTTGGCACGAGAAACCCGAATCTTATGTTAGTTTTAAGATGCAATCAATTTTTCGCAGTGTTTCATACAAAAATCCACAAAAAAGGAGTTGGTGATTTTCCTTCATATGAAGTGAGTCTACTGTCAAACGTCAATATATTATCGAACCCTTCTATGAAATGTACAGTGGCGCCACTTTTTGGTACTAAGTAATTCCATAGAAGGGTTCGATAAAATATTGACATTTGACAGCAGACTCACTTTTTCACGAACTTCCTTCATTTTTGTATGAAAGACTTGCCTTTGTGGTACCGTAATGATGTGAAACTTTGAACAGGCTATTTTTTTGATTGAAACTTGGTGTGATTATTTATTTTGATAAGAAAATAATATTCACAAGTTTTCACGGTAATTTAAGTTACTGCAACCATACATAGACCATAATTTCAGTTTATTCCCAAAAATTTCGGTTCCATGCGGAAAAGTCAGCTTGCGTACGTAAGCCTCTTTATTTTTCTGATAGAATACTTACAATACTTAAAATTCTAGTTTTCATTTCTTCATTGAAGCACAGCTACATTACAAGTAATGAATTTTACCCGACGCTGAAATTGAATTTCACCCCACCTGAAAATCATCGGATAAAATTCATTTTTCAGAAATGAACTTTACCCGACGTTCAAATTGACTTTTATCCGACGTCGGGTGAAATTCATATTGAAAATGAATTTTACCCGACTCGCAAAATGAATTTTATACGATGATTTTCAGGTCGGGTAAAATTCAATTTTCACAAATGAACTTTGCCCGACGCTCAAATTGACTTTCATCCGACGTCGGGTGAAATCCATATTGAAAATGAATTTTACCCGACTCGCAAAATGACTTTTATCCGACGATTTTCAGGTTGGGTAAGATTCGATTTTCAAAATGAATTTTACCCGACGCAAGAATTGAAATTTACCCGACGTCGGGTGAAGTTCATTTTCGAAGATCACATTTAACCGTATTAAAAATTACATCAGGTAAAGTTCATTTTCAAAAATTGAATTTTACCCGATATCTCAAATTGAATTTTACCCGACTGTTTTTTACGTCGGATAAAATTCATATTGTGAAAATGAATTTTACCCGACGCTCAAATTGACTTTTACCCGACGTCGGATAAAGTTCATTTTCACAATATGAATTTTATCCGACGTAAAAAAACAGTCGGGTAAAATTCAATTTGAGATATCGGGTAAAATAGAATCGGGTATTATTCAGTCCCCCTTTTGCGAATGGTGGCGGATGTTTCATACAAATTTGCGGACGTTGTCGAATGTTTCATACACATTTTGCGGATGGCGCATATGAAAAGTCATATTTTTACATTCAAAAAGTCAAAGTGATAGATTAGGTGAATCCGCATAAAAAAGAAATATTTGGATAAAAGATTAATTTTAAAGAACGAAAAATGAAGATTGGCAAAGAAACGTCATTTGGTTGGTTCGGTGTCGTTTTGAACATATTATGTTTAATCGTTTTCGAAGCAACTGGTCTTGCCGATGACACTATTGCAGGATCATTCGGTGAGTGTGTGATTTGCTCTCATATGCAATAAAACAAGAAAAACCCTCTGAAGTATTTTTAACTTAAAAAATAACCTCACAGTTGCGTTCTTGGAATTTTGTTCGCCAATTGATGAAAATCTGTAAATATTTATTAAAAATGCCATATTTTCAGTGTACAATTTGATAGGCTGCATCGTTTGGCTTGTTGCAATTCGATTGGTAAATTTACACCAAAAAATACGTTTTTTTCTTCTTGATGTTTTAAATATATAGTAAAAATGTAAATTAAATGTAAATTAAATATTATTCTAGAACTTTCCATTATTGCTGATTCTTCACTTGATCTGGTTTTCAATACCTTTGTCGCTTTGGGCGATCTATATATCATTCGCTTTACATGGGTAAATTCACTGGAATTCTTATTGCAAAATTATTGAATTCCCTCATGACTAACTTTTGTTTATTTTTTAACACAGCGTATTGTCTGGAGATTCTTATTATGGCTATAGAAGTCGAGGTAGTTACTCCTTCTTTTGGTCGGGAGTTTTCATACTTGGTGAGTGAGAAAATTGACAAATTTTTTATATCCAGTTTCGATAATCACATTTTCCTTGACATTTTCTGTTCAATTTCGACAGTCTTGAGTGCCATTTATTATTACTTGGCACTTAAAATTTATTTACGATTCAGAAAGTCCCGTGAATTAAATGGACAAATTATCGCCTTGAATCCACCACCATATACATCGGCGTTAATGACAAAAACTGAAAATGTTTAATTACTTACTCAATAATATTAATGTTATTACTCAGAGTGCCGAACATTTTTCAAAAAAAAAAAGATTTTTTTTTTGCTCAATAAGTGGCAGCAAAATTTTAAATAAGTCAATAATAAATATATATTTTCAATGTAAAAAATATAAATTTTGAATAAATTTCATATAAAACAGTTTTTTAGCCAATTTTTATTTGTTTCATGAGAGAATGAGAGATACTATCTTCTATGTTCCGCTGGTAAAATGTCTGACAGATTTCATTCTGAGAATTTTTATACATCACATCAATGTTTACGAAGAATAAATATGATCAATGATCATTTCGCTTATTATAATCAGAATAAAAAAAAACAACTTGAAAAAACCTCTCTTTGCGTGATTAAAATGATATCAATTTGAATACAACAAAAAAAAAAAAATCTGAATGAATAGAAACCAAAGTTCTATTGTTAACAACATTTAGAGATACTCAGAGAGTAGAAAACGTATCAATAGACATAATGGACATTTGTACAAATAGTAACTATTGATAGGCACTGTTAAATTATAGCGGTAGCGTTTACTACACACACAAAACAGTAGTAGTAGTAGTATTGTTTGAATGTATTGGTATATATGTAGGACAGTTGTTTTGGCACGATGGACCAAATTGCGATATACCAATACATTTAAACAATGCTACTATTGCTGTTTTGTGTGTATTCTCTGAATAAGGAGAATAAAAAAGAATCATCAGCTGTGTTGTGTTTTGATTGTGCATTTATCCCCGAATGTATAATGCGTAATGTTTGTCGATTACGCGCTAGGGTGGTTTCAAAAACACCAACTTTCAGTCAGTCACGCTGATATAAAGACATATTTACAATTCGTAATATTTGAAATGGCCATTTGGTAAATATTGATGCAATTTTATGGTATGTTGAGTCCATTTTAAAATTTGATAGTTTCGACACAAATTGCCCAATTAATCCGCTCACTTTACATTTATTTAGCATTTTAACACAACCAATTCAACCAAACATTTCTTGCAGGGATTTTCGATAGTGTGTAAATTGGCACATACGTTACATATGTTCAAGGACCACCCTATGTCACGCGCATGCATAAATGAATCTATTTTCATAACAGAATAAAAAACCATCCCTTACGAGGCAGATCCCTTAATTTCTCAGTATTTCGTCAGATGTGAACAAAATAACATGCATTCAAGTGAATCCGCACAAAAACAGAAATATTTCGATAAAAAAGTCAATTTCAAAGATAAAAAATGAATGTTCGTCAAGAAGTGTTGATTGGTTGGTTCGGTATCGTTTTGAACATATTATGTGTAATCGTTTTCGAATCAACTGGCCTTGCTGATGATATTATTACAGGATCATTTGGTGAGTGTGTGAATTGCTCTCATATGCAGTAAAAAAAGAAACCCCCTATGGCTATAGTACTATAGTATTTTTAACTTTAAAAAATGACCTCACAGTTACGTTCTTTTGATTTTCGTTCGCAAAGTGGTGAAAATTTGTATATATTTATCAAAAATTCCATATTTCCAGTGTACAATTTGATAGGCTGCATCGTCTGGCTTGTTGGGCTCGGATTGGTAAGTGAATTTGCTACAAAAAATACGTTTTTTCTTCTTGATGTTTTAAATATTTAATAAAAATTGAATGTTATTCCAGAATTTTCCATTACTTTTGCTTCTTGACTTGATCTGGTTTGCAATACCCTTGTCGATTTGGGCTATTCATGTATTAGGGTAGATCGGTTTTGATAGTTTGAATGAATTTTATCTAGGAGGGTCTGTATTTCTTTTTTGAGGAAAAAGAAGGAACTTTTGACCTACGAATTTGTTCAAAAAAATATTCTGACCCTCCGCCGTAACTACAATACAAGATTATTGCCTGCCCTATAATGACTCTCTAACTTTTGTCGATTTTTTATCATAGCATATTGTGTCGAGATGGCTATGGAGGACAAAGAAGTTACTCCTTCTTTTGGTCGGCAGTCTTCATACTTGGTGAGTGCAAAAATTTAGATTTTTTCAAGTTTCGATAATCATATTTTCTATTCAATTTCCACAGTTTTGAGTGCCATTTATGACTACTGGATATTTAAAATTTATTTTCACTTGAGAAAGTCCCGTCAGTCAAATAAACAAATTATCACCTCGAATCCACCGTCATATACATCGGCATCACTGACAAAAGCTGAAAATGTTTAATTACTCAATATTAATGTTCTATTACTCGAAGTACTAAGCATTAAAAAAAAGATTTATTTTCTTCCTGCTCAATAAGTGGAAGCAAAATTTCAAATAAGTCAATAATAAATTAATATTTTCAATGTAATATAAATTTTGAATAAATTGCATATAAAACAGTTTTGCATCAAATTTTATCTGTTTCATGAGAGATGCTATCTTCTATGATCCGCTGATAAAATGTCTGACAGATTTAATTCTGGTAATTTTCATACATCACATCAATGTTTACAAAAAAATATGATCATGTCGTTTATTATAGTCAGAATAAAAACCCTCTCTTGCAAGAATAAAAAATGGTATCAATTTGAATGCGGCTCAAAAGAATAAACACGTTTCTGAATGAATAGAACCCAAAGTTACTATTTGTGACCATAACAATTTTTGTAAACTCTAATTTGTAGAGTTAGTGGGTAGAGTTTTCTACACACACAAAACAGTAGTAGTAGCATTGTTTAAATGTATTGGTATATTGCAATTTTACCAATAGATCTTGAAATATCTATTGGTATTTCCATACTATCGTCACTATAACAGGACAGTATTGGCAATTGTTTTGGCACGATGGACCAAATGACAACTGCACTGTTGTAGTGACGATTGTATGAAAATACCAATAGATATTTCAAGAACTATTGATAAAACTGTAATATACCAATACATTATGTATTTTCTGAATAAGGAGAATAAAAATGAATCATCAGCTGTGTTGTGTTTTGATTGTGCATTTATCCCCGAGTATAATGCGTAATGTTTGTTGACTACGCGCTAGGGTGGTTTCCAAAACACCAACTTTCATAGTCAGTCACGCTGATATAAAGACATATTTACAATTCGTAATATTTGAAATGGCCATTTGGTAAATATGACTTTGAAATCATGTTTTTTCAATAGAATTGATGCAATTTTATGATATGTTGAGTCCATTTTAAAATTTCATAATTTCGACACAAACACTGCCCAATTATTCTGCTCACTTAACATCTATTTAGCACATTAATACAACCAATTTATCCAAATATATAGCGGCAGGGGTTTACGATATAGCGTGTAAATTGGCACATATTTTACATACATTAAGGACCACCCTATTTCATGCGCATGCATAAATGAGTCTATTTTCATATTTACCAAGTCGCAGTAAGCAGTATTTCGTCAGAAGTGCACAAAATAACAAGCTTTTTCACAGTGTTTCCTTCGAATGCCAATATTCCAAACGAATCCGGAAAAAATATAAATATTTGAATAGAAAAAAAGTTTAATTTCAAAAAAGAAAAATGAAGATTCGTCCAGAAATGTTAATTGGTTGGCTCGGTGTCGTTGTGAACATATTATGTTTAATCGTTTTCGAAGCAACTGGCCTTGCCGATGACAATATTGCAGGATCATTTGGTGAGTGTGTGATTTGCTCTCATATGCAATAAAACAAAGAAACCCTCTATAGTATTTTAAAAAGATGACCTCACAATTTCGTTCTTGAAATTTCTTTCGCCAATTGGTGAAAATCTGTAAATATTCATCAAAAATTCCATACTTTCAGTGTACAATTTGATAGGCTGCATCGTCTGGCTTGTTGGGCTCGGATTAGTAAGTTGCACCAAAAAATACGTTTTTTTCTTCTTGATGTTTTAAATATTTAGTAAAAATGTAAATTAAATTTTGTTTCAGAACTTTCCATTACTGCTGCTACTCACATTATTTTGGTGGGTTGTGCCGTTGTCGATTTGGGCTATTTATGTATCATTTAATTTACATAGGTAAATTCACTGGAATTCTTATTGCAAGATTATTTAATGCCCTCATTACTCCTAACTTCGGTCGATTTTACTTTTGGTGTGTAAGGTAAAGTATCGGAATCGGTCAAAAAATTAACACCCTCAAAAATGTGTTTTCTGGGTGTTTTTGGGGCCAAGGAATACAAATTTAGTGTTTTTTCGATGTACCAATGTATGTGCGTACCCTGTACCCTGTACGCAATAATTTGTTAACATGATAACTTTCAAACAAGAAAAGTAATTCAAAATCTGACTTCACAGGATGATTGGGGGACTTTGATTGATAGAGTGAAGTGTCATGTCTGGTGTGATGCCCATGGCCATCCATGGGGAAAATTCAATTTTTCTTCCAAAAGTCGTA